TTCCTCTTCTTCAGCCATGGTGGGAGTCGCGCCGGTTGCTAAGGTGAAAGCGTCACTCCGCTTGCCAAGGAGGCGGGGCCCGGGCCGGGGAGGCGGGGCAGGTTCTCTCTCTGGGGGCGGGGCCTGGGCGCCGGGCACAGCTTGCCGAGCTGGGAGGGGCGTGTCGTGGGCGAAGCAGGGAGAGCCGGGCGCTGGGCGGGGCGTGCCGGGCGGGGCAGTGCGTGTCGTGCCCGGGGCTAATCAGGGCGTGCCAGGCGGGGCGGGGCGTGTTACACCGGTCGCTGGGTGGGGCGAGCTGGGTAGTGCGGGGCGTGTCGTGCCTAGGGACTGGGAGGGGCGTGCCGGGCAGGGCGGGGCGTGTCGTGCCTGGGGGCTGGGCGGGGCGTCCCGGGCAGGGCGTGGTGTGTCGTGCCGGGGGCTGGGCGGAGCGCTCTGGGCTATGTGGGGCTCGGGTTCGCAGTTGCGCGCGCTCTAGGCCGCTGGGCGCCAGGCGGATGTCCCGGCGAGTGCTCTCCGCGGCGCCGCGCGTGCAGCCCGGGTCTCACCGTGGCTTGCTGCCCACTGGGAGCCCTTGGGCAGTGCACGGTTTCTTTCGCAGTCTCCCTGGGCGTCTGTCCCAGGGGGCCATGTGAGCGCTGTGCCTTTTTATCTCCGTTGTTCGTAAAGTCTGGAATCACATTCCAGTGTCCGCTTGACCCGATGACTAAAAATAATGAGGATTCTGAAGAAGAGGGAATGCCCCACAGCCTAGGCCTCTCCCCGACACGTGGGAGTTTCTGAGCGCGCTCCCACGGGGTGCTCTAGCCTTGGTGACGGGACGTAAGCCTCAGCTGCGACGAAAAGCTGTTGCCATGGAGTTTCGGGCTCCGGAACACCCGAGCGACGCTAGCGTGGTCCCGCCGTGGGCAGTTGCGGCTTGGTCCGCGGGCTCAGCTCCCTTGGGGGTTGTTTCCAGACGCAAGTTCCAGGAAGACCCCTGGTGTTGGCTGGGAGCGACCGGAGGCCGTAGGTGCCCAGGATTCGCTCACATTTACCAAGGGACGAAATTTAGGGACGAAATTTAGACTTGACCGTTCCACACGAGATTATCCATGCAGTTGCTGAGATAAATCCACAAATTAAAAGATAACATTCAACTCGGTGATCGCTGGATCATAAAGGTTGTGGTGGACTAAGAATACATCCTGCAGTTCCCTTGGAATAGCCTGATGATGTTGAACTGTTTTCATGCCTTAAGCATTAATTAACTCGTCAAATGCAAATATTTAACACTTGCAGCAATTGTATGTGCGTGGTTTCTTCTCTTTCTTTTTATTATTTTTAATAGAGACAGGGTCTCACTATGTTGCGCAGGCTGATCTCTAACTCCGGGGCTCAAGAGATTTCTCCTGCCTGGTCCTCCCAAAGTGCTGGTATTACAGGCATGAGCCACGGCACCAGTCGTCTTCTTTTAATTTTTCTTTTTCTTTTCTTTTTTTTTTTTTGAGACGGAGTCTCGCCCTATCACCCAAACTGGAGTGCGATGGCATATCAGTTCACTGCAAACTCGCCTCCCGGGTTCAAGCGATTCTCCTGCCTCAGCCTCCGGAGTAGCTGGGATTACAGGCGCCTACCACCATGCCCGGCTAATTTTTCTATTTGTAGTAGAGAGATTTTCAGCATGTTGGCCACGCTGGTCTTGAACTTATGGCCTCAAGTGATCCGCCTGCCTCGGCCTCTCAAAGTGCTGTGGTTTACAGGTGTGAGGCACCCCACCTGGCCTTTAAAAAAAAAAAAAAAAAACTGGTTGTTTCAAAAAATGGAGGTGGCCCACGATCTCTAGACAGCTTGGAGGCTCTGGGCTTTCAGTCACTTAGGAGACTTGGCTTTGAGTTTCAGCTCTCCAGTCATTTGTGGGAGGCTGGGACCAATCTTTTAACTTCCCTAGGCTGTTAAATTGCCTGTAAAATAGTAGTGATACCACTAGCCTAACAAGGCTGTTAGGATTAAATAAGACACATGTGAAGCATTTTCTGAAGTGGTCTCCAAAGATGAAATCATTGCTTTTTTTTTTTCCTGCAAGGCTAAGGCACACTTCTACAGATGGGAGTCTTTATATTTCGTTTTTCTGTCCCCACCCCATTTTCTTTTTTATGCATGCAAGTCTCATTAAAACTTGTTTTGAAAAACTAACACTTTGAGATTTTGCCAACTCAATTTGGGAACAGTTTGCTCATAGCAAATTTATTTTTTATTTTTTTGAGACGGAGTCTTGCTCTATCCTTTAGGCTGGAGTGCAGTGGCACGACCTCGGCTCACCACAACCTCTGCCTCCTGGGTTCAAGCCATTCTCCTGCCTCAGCCTCCTGAGTAGCTGGGATTACAGGCACGTGCCACCACACCTGGCTAATTTTTCTATTTTGAGTAAAGAAGGGGGTTTCACCATGTTGGCCAGGCTGGTCTTGAACTCGCGACCTCGTGATCCATCTGCCTCGGCATCCCAAAGTGTTGGGATTACAGGTGTGAGCCACCAGGCCCGGCATTTTTTTGCTTTTTTAAAAAATCAACAAGAAAGTAGTGTCAGTTTAAATGTAAAAGTATTCATGCAAGATCAGTGCAAAACTTAGAAAATATACTTCAACATTCTTTCAAATGACTTACTAGTTCAACTATTCTAAAATTCATCTGATTCAAATTTTTAGTTTATCTCTGCATTCCTTGTTGATATGCAGTTAAGCAGGTAAATACTTTGAAAGTTATTCAACCAGTCATGTTACAATGAAATATTGTAACTTACCTGTTTCTTTCTTTCATGAAATGAGCTTGCCATAGTTACAGGAGAGATGGCTTCTAGATAATTTTATATATATTGATAGGTTAGAAAAAGAGATTTTTTTTTTTTTTTTTTTTTTGACACTGAGTCTCACTCTGTCCATCAGGCTGGAGTGCAGGGGACAATCTTGGCTCATTGCAACCTCCACCTCCCGGGTTCAAGCAATTCTCCTGCCTCAGCCTCCCGAGTAGTTGGGATTACAGGCGTGTGCCACCATACCCAGTTAATTTTTGTATTTTTAGTAGAGACGGTTTCACCATGTTGGCCAGGCTGGTCTCAAACTTCTGACCTCAGGTGATCCACCCACCTCAGCCTCCCAAAGTAGAGGTGTGAGCCACCGCGCCCGGGCCAGAGATTCTACTAATTCTATTATACCAACTAATGTATGTTTTCTTTGTTATTATTTCCCTCTTTTAAAATCAGTTTTCATATAAACACAAAGTTAACGTGATGGCTTTTACTAACACATACTGTATGGGGGACAGCCGGTGGAGTCAGAAGACTTGGGTTCTGATCCAACTGCACTGCTCACAGGCAGTTGCTGAGCAAGTTGCTAAATCTGTCTATCTCACCCGTTATCATCCAGAAAATAAAGAGATTGGAAAGAAAGTTCTGAAGTCAATGTGGCACCTATCAGAATCTCAGTGTTTTCTTACTATGTTCCTCAACATTCAAACAGCACATTTTATGTTTTCGAACACCGGGGAGAGAACAAAACAGTGTGCAACAGAAGAAGCTAATGGTTTTAAGTACATTAGTAACAGCCGGACCTGGAGGAAAGGTGGGAAGAGTGTCATTATGGGAAATGAGGTGTGCACTCTTCTCTTCATAATCATACTGCCTCTTCAAGGATCCTGGGAGCAGATACAACTCAGCAAGGCTTGGTGCTTTTGCTAGACAGCCTCTAGCTAGCTTAAACCCCACATCTACTGCATTTCCTGCTTCTAATTAGTACATACAAGCTAATGTATAAAATGTGAAAAAGCATTAAGAAAATGAAAATTACCTGTTTTATCACCTAGTGATGACTACTAACAGCCTTTAATCTTCATTTCTTTGTTACATATACAATTTTTCAAAACACAGTATGTATAGTTTTATGTCCTTTTTTTATGTAGCATAATTTTTTCTCATTGCCATTTTTTCATGATTGTTAGTGGTTGCATATTTTTCCATCAAAAGATGTAGTATAACTTTACCACTCTTTAGAGTCTTCCCAATTTTTCATTAGGGAAAATGAACATCCTTATATAATAGTTTTTTTTTTTTGCTGAATCATTTCCCTATGCTAGATTGCTAGTATATTACCAATTCAGAAGTTATAAACTTTGTAAAGGATTTATTACCAATGTTTCCAGAAAGATTTCACCAACATACCCTCCAATAGACTGTAAGAGTGCTTCGTCATTAAATCCTTACTGGTATTAAGTTTAAATAAGAGGAATCAAAATTAATAGGTGAAATGACCCAATCACTTAAAATTTTTCTTTCTTAGTGGTTGGGTTGGACCTCTTTCAAGTAGTTACTGACATCTGCATTTTTTTTTCTGAGTTGATCAATATTATTTGCCCACTGTTTGCATTTTTTTCTTCCTATTGATTTGTAAGTTATTTACATAAAAGTTTTTTTTTTTTTTTTCTTTTCTTTTTGCTTTAGAAGTGAAACCAAGGCTTAATTTATCTGGTTAAGTTTTGTAATTTTTTTTTTTTTAGGACACGGTCTTGTTCTGTCACACACGCTGGAGTGCAGTGGCACGATCATAGCTCACTGCAGTCTCCAATTCCTGGGCTCAAGTAATCTTCCTGCTTCAGCTTTCCTAACGGGCTAGGACTGCAGGTGTGTGTCACCAGGCCACACTTTTATAATTTTTTGTAAAACTGGGATCTATGTTGTGCAGGCTGCTCTTGTACTCCTGGCCCCAGGTGATCCTCCTGCCTGCGCCTACCAAACCACTGGAATTGCAAGTGTGAGCCACCACACCTGGCCTATCTGCTGGTTAAGTTCTTTAAACAGAACAGGTAAAATGTAGGTTTTAATATCTGGATTCTCATGTATATCTGTGTAGTTTTATTAATGTCCTCTCCTCTTGTTCCTCATTTCTCTTTCATAGTAATAACAACAGAAAGCTCACTTCAGTCACTTCAAATCCAAATGTAACAATGCAGAATTAAAAAATGGAAACAAGCTCTTGGAATTAATCATTTATCACAAAATGAACAATTTCAGTTCTTAAACATACAATCACTTTTCTTCATACTAACTCAAAATGAGTAAACAGAATTTTATTCAAACTTTACAAATATCATTTACATTTAGCCTGAGATTAAGCATGAGAAAGTTCAACCTGAAGTTAGACTTCATTGCCCAGTTAAGCATCTGAAAATAAAGCTGAGAATGAATATACATCATCAAACAAAGCATTCCAATGAAGTCTGGCAATGAATTGTGACACAAACTGAACTTTAATTTGCTCTGGTCCACATGATCTTCAGAGCCTAAAAGTTCCTATTTTTTAATAATGATGGAAAAATATCTGCAAATGACAAATGCATGAAGGTGTGACCAGATGCAAAATTTTAGTTCAACATTTGTACAGCAGCTGCTTTAGGTGACCATTAAAAAACAACTCCCCAATCCTTATTGTTCAACATGTACTTGAAAACATGCGGCAGCATGGTACAGTTTATTAAATTTATAAATATCAGTACCTGTAATAAAATATAAAATACTGAGTATCCCTTTTTCAAATATTAAGTCTCTGAATGCTTCATTCATCCTTTGGTTTCAAACCCATACAATGCACTCATATTACATTGTAGATTTTGCATGGAGACAGAACACTGTACATCTGTTGGGGAAGGTGGGGTGCTGTGGGAATACCAAAGCACTACATCATAGAAAGTAAATGTTGAAGCAAAAATACTTTCTGAATATATACTGTACATTATGTAAACACACATTCAGAATAAGAATCAACACAGGCCAAAATATTGTTTTCTAGGAAACCAGATTCTTCTTTCTTTTAAATCACACACTGAAGATGCTTTTTGTTAAGAAAAAGAATGAAGTCTGTTCCTGTATTTGCTTATGTGCTTAGATATCTTGGAAATGAGTAATTATTACATTCATTGCTAACGGTTTATCCTCTGCTTAGTTGGCTGGCTGTTGCAAACACGGAATACAGAACTATTTCAGTCCCTGTTTTTCATTTAATACTAGTTCAGTAATATATAATTAAATAATCTTTATTAATCCATTATTTCTAATATAAATAGATTAAGTGAAGCAATGAATTCAAAATTTGTGCAGGGGAAACTAGTTGATAATTTGTTTCCAATAAGGCTAGTAGCAATTAATTACTACAAAGTTTCTCCAAGCTAGTAGTGAACCCCTGATTTAGCAGGTTGAATCAAAGTGTATAGTTAGGTAATTCTAATTCCTCTATTACTGTGCAAATCTAGAATTTCCTATGTAAAAGACAGTGCTGGCAGCATCAAAGCCCTGTAATAAGAGTATGAAATACTGATTAGGATTTGAAATGAAGAGATATTATATGAAGACATGTGAATGTCTTAATGATGGTATCATAGCAACGGCCTCAGAATTCCCTTACTGAAACAGAAACTAAGACAAATCATTATTCAATAATCTTCTGAGCCAAAAGCCTAAGTTGAAAGCAAGTGATAAAAACACAAAACCAAAGATGCATTTTCTATGACCATATGCAAGAATTTCAAGCTTTATATCAACATTCTGTACCAGCACCAGCCCCTCTGAAAGGAAAAAGTGTAGTCATGACTGTCCATCCCTTTTCAAAGCTTCCAGTCTTTGAAGGAGTGCGTTTCCAAAGGCTTCCCGGTAGGCGGGGCTGAGTGTATCCAACAAGGAGTAGACTGTTTCGTGGTAGGGAGTCTGTAAATGATCATCCACCTGGTCAAAAGCATAGCCTACCACCTACAAGAGAAATGCAACAGTGAATTCATTAGTTTTCATGCTGGTACAGAAAACAAAATCCAAGTGTTTACGTGAGTAACTATCCTTTCAAAAAAAAAATTATTTTTTTTTCCTAGCCACTAGACCACCAGATACATGGATAATTATTGAGTGACACTATTTCTCAATCAATGTCAGAGTATGCACATTTTAAAAACAACCTTTAATGCTTCAGCAACTTACAATGTGTAACACAGAAACACCACCACTAAAATGCTCCCTATACAATTTTCTTTAAAATTTAAAAGGTTTTACTTAGAATCTCAAGGAAATGCAGAGAATTTGAAAAGCTACACAAAAACCATTTTATTTTCATATTCTAAAACATGCATCTATTATTTACCCTATTTAATTCCACATATACTGAGGGTCCACTATATTAAGTACTGTAATAGGTAATATATTAGTTCATATTTTTGTAATAGGTAATATATCATTAGTTCATATTTTTATCATTTTTTTACTCCTTTTATAAATAGAATTCTAGAAATTATTCCTAACAATTTAGTTTTAATAATTAGTTGTTAATTTTAATAACTGTTTTATTAATTGGTTTAATAATTTGTTTAATTATTCATTTTAATAACTGCTTAGCTTTATTATTAGTAATCTGAAAGGCCACTTTCACCTAATATATTTCTTATCTGACAGGGAATAAATGCTCAACTCTGTGAGATAAAAGGGAATGTTACTGTGTTTTCTTTTTTCTTGGTAGGGGTACACTATTTCTGGAAGTACTGCAATACCAGGTCGATGAGTGAAGTGAATGGAGCAAAAGCCTATTCTATCTCCCTGCTCCAAAAATCCATTTAATATATTGTCCTTGCATAGAGGATATAACAGATATTAAACTGATAAGAAGAGATACTCCAACTGATCTAAGTCAAAAGGCTGAGAGGTGATTTTTTTTTTTTCCTGTGACCACAGCTACAACTTTTCTTTTTGACAAGATTATAAGGTATATCATGGTTCACCATCACAATATAGGGCAAAATTAATTTAGTTTTTGCTGACTTAAGTTTGTACATTCCCTATATAAATCCTAAATTTTTATGACATCTACTTAAGCCATAGAAGGTGAAAGTTTGTTAGAAATAGAAGCGGAGTTTTTTGTTTTTTTTTTTTAATGAAAAGCAGAGGCAGATGCCTAAGGAAAATGAATCACACCTCTTCAGATCCATGCTCGATTACTGTACTCTCTACAGTGGAGTACAGTTCAGTTTGCCTTCTTCCTCTTATCACTGCTAGACTGTGATCTTCCTGGTGGACAGGAATCATGTCTTATTCATGGTTTGATTTTCAATTGCTGACACAGGATAGTTGCTCAATAAATGTTAACTGAATCTGACTGAAAAACAAACAAATACTTGAGCACCTACTACATGTCAGGTTTTACAAATGGTTCAGATTTTTCTGTATCACACCATCATATAATCATTCCCCAAATCGTTTTAAGTTTTTGTAAATCTCCAAGTTATAGATTAAGAAGTAGGAACTCTCAGGGGTAGACAGATTCACCTAAGATCATTTAAATTCACATTTAAGACTGCTGACTCTCTGATCAGAACTCCTTCTATCTCTCCATAGCCAACTTAGAATTAACCAACACAAGACAGAATTAGCTTACTAATTCTGTCATTTATCTCTACTTCTGATTTAGGATTCACCTCTAAACACTCTGAGCTTTTAGTACAAATTTAAGGATGTGAAAAGAAGTGCACAAAAATTAGTTAATTCAGGTACTATGCTTAAAGTTAAGCAGCTATCTTTGTGGCAGCTGTGAGGAAATTGAGGGTAGTACAGATGCTGGCCTTGCAATTTGCTCCATCAAGGAATGTACAGTATACACGACTCATCTTCGGCAAACTGAATCCAGTGAAGTAAAGAGATGTTTATGTACTTAAGATAATATCATGTGACATTCTTACTTGCTTAGGTAGGCCTTGCTCACCACCTTATGATAATGTACAATTACTTTGAACAAATATAGAAACAGAAATGTATGACATTTGTTAAGACTGAAGATTCATTGATTAGTAAGGTTAAAACTAGATTTTAGATTTTCTAATGTCTATCCCATTGTTCAGTAGCTCAAAGGTTTTTATAACTTTTTTTTTTTTTTTTTTAAACAGGGTGTGTGTACCCAGGCTGGAGTACAGTGGCCCAATTCTAGCTCACTGCAACTTCAGACATATGGTCCCCCTCCTAAGCCTCCCAAGTAGCTGGATTACAGGAAAGTGCTGCCATGTTGGGCTAATTAACAAAAAATATATTGTAGAAACAGGGTCTTGCTATGTTACTCAGGCTGGTCTCGAACTCCCGGCCTAAAATGATCCTACCAGCTTGGCTTCCCTAAGTGCTAGGATTACAGGCAAGAGTCCACAGGCCTGTCCTATAGTTTTTTCTTTTTTAATTAAAAGTTGCTCTCAGGTGATGTTTTCTACTATTCTAAACTCATGATTTTGGTTTAAAGAATGGAAAGGTTAATCTTCCTAGAAGAGCTCTCATAATAAAGAGATACTCATAATAAAGGGTTAATGGGACACTCTTGGAAATCTGGGGGCGGAATGTTCTGCTCTGATTTATTTCTGATCTAAGAGTTGGAAAACAGTGTTGTCAAGTACGTTATTTTAACAGAAGAGACATTTCCAAGAGGTTGACGAAGATCTTTTCAACACAATAACTGCAAAACCCATTCAATGCAGAGAACATATATATAATTTTGGTGAACACATTTAGCTATAGATGAGAAATAAATTAGTTTCGGGGGTCATGATTAAAACAAAGTCACACCCTGCAAATCAAATGTTTTTCAAAAAAATTCGGTTTCCCTGTATTGATCAAAAGCCTTTAAAATTAATAAAAATTCTAGGTAAAAAGTTTTTCTTAAAAAAATTTAGAAGCTTCTGAATATTCAGTTCTCATTTAATACTCTTCCCCTCCCCAATACCTCTCTTTTTGATAAAGTGGTGAAGACATATTTTTTTTTTCTAAAAAGAGAAGTGAGTTACCTTGAGCCCTGCTTCAGTGAGCTCTAAGCAATATCTGTTTCTTTCCTTTGTTTCCACATTGATATAGGCCACATCATCTGCACACCGCAGGCTTTTCGAGACAAACATGTTATTAACGGCAAAGAGAACATCATTTACAACTGCTTCAGCTTCTAGCCTCATGTCTTTCATGTCAGTTCCTTCAAAACCATTAAGCTCTGAACCTTCTTCAAATCCTGACATACTGCTTAGCTCCATGGGATTACAGTCTGTTTCCATTCTGTGAAAAAAAGCAGTTATAAAATTTGTTTATAGAAAGACATTCAAAATACTACATTTGATTAAAAATAGCCATGCCTTACAATTGCTACTTAGTACAAAACACTAGCTAACAATTTTTAGGAAAAATACTATCTAAAAACATTTCTAGTGTTTTTTCACAGCAAAATCACAGACACCTATAGATTTTCAAAAAAAGAATCTCCCTTCTCCACTTACCCCCAACAGGTCAATTTCCATATTGATAAGCATTTAGAATATATATATGTATTTTTAGCTATTTTGAATAATGCCTCAGTAACAATTCTAGTACATATTTTTAAATGTATAATTTTTCTCTAGGACAGATATTTAGAACTGAAATTGCTGAGTCAAAGGACATACTTATTTTAACTTTTTTTTTTTTTTTTTTTTTTTTGAGATGGAGTCTCGCTCTGTTGCCCAGGCTGGAGTGCAGTGGTGCAATCACGGCTCACTGTAAGCTCCGCCTTCCGGGTTCACGCCATTCTCCTGCCTCAGCCTCCTGAGTAGCTGGGACTATAGGTGCCCGCCACCATGCCTGGCTAATTTTTTTGCATTTTCAGTAGAGACGGGGTTTCACCGTGTTAGGTAGGATGGTCTCAAACTCCTGACCTTGTGCTCCGCCCGCCTCGGCCTCCCAAAGTGCTGGGATTACAGGCGTGAGCCACTGTGCCTGACCTATTTTAACTTTTAATATATACTGCCAATTTGCCCTTCAAAAAAATACAGTATGACTTACACTTCACTGACAGAATATGAGGGACTGTACTTTTTCACCTCTTTCCAATTCTTTTAAATTTTTGCCAATTTAAGAGGTGAAGAATGATAGCTCATTGTTGTAATATTATTTCCTTGAGTAAACATCTTTTTGGATGTTTATAGGATATTTTTAGTTCTAAGATCATAGAGTTGCAATAAGCAGAAATGGAAATAAATCTAAACTGCATGAAATCAGACGGCAAGTCTTTACCTACCACAGTATACTACCACTCAGTAGTTCCTTTTATGACTTCTAGATTGGGGTTCTGCTCTAGGCCTTCCCCATCCCATGATCACATTTTTAAAATCCCCTAAATTCTCGTTGTATCTGAATTTTAACTCTTTCATCCATCTGGAATTTATTTTGCATAACTTTATTTTCCGGATGGATAGTTAACTGTCCCAACACCACTTACTGAATAACTCACCTTTTCACCACTAATTTGAAGTGACCCAAATGTTATATTTTGAAAAAGATTATTTCTAATTTTTCATGTTAACTGGATCCAATATTACTGCCAGGCTGCTATGTGGTTTTAGCTTTTCTGTGACTGGGGTTAAAAGAGATCTTCCTGGCTAAATGTATTGTTAAAATTTGAAACGTGTGAATGAGAAAAGTTAATTAATGTGAAAGTGCTTTGGAACGTAAACAAGGCTTTATAGAACAAACTATGGTGAGCTATTGTGCTTTCTTTTTGCTTGGCAGGTTTTAAAAGTAAAGTTTCACTTCTCTGATACGGATTAAGCATCTGTCGTCGTGAATGAAGCATAACTCTTCATTCACTCACGTATTCAATCAACCTTCATTTCCTATCTACTTGAACACTGTGGTCAAGGTCTAGTCCTACCCCCCAACCACACTGGAGTTAGATTAGACTGGTAATAAACGGTAATAAACTCACCGTATTTTAAGAGACAAGGTCTAACATGTTGCCCAGGCTGGAGTGCAGTGTGTGATCACTGTGTACCATAACCTAGAACTCCTGAGCTCAAGCCATCCTACTACCTCAGCCGCCGGAGCTCAAGCCATCCTACTACCTCAGCCGCCGGAGCAGGTGAGACTACAGACTCGAGCCACCACACCTGACCCTTAAATGCTTTTTTAGAAGAAGTCTCAATTTTTTTCTGACAATATTTACAATTTTTTGGGCATTTATTTAAACCGCTGATCTGGTACATTACACAGTCCATCGCTATTCCAAGTTATGCCCTATTTGTGTAATATTCAAAATCCTTCAAGATAGTGATATTCAAAATTCTTTAAGCTAGTCAGTAGAATTACTTGTAAGAGCTTATAAAATTATAGATACATTTTCCTCACTGCAGAAAAACAAAATCAAAATCAAAAATCTCTGGAAGACGAGTTATTTTTTTCAGAGCTCCTGAGTGATTTTGCTGTGCAGCTACTGCTCTAAATTATCAGCAAAATCTTAAGAAGCTAGAGTTCCTACAGCTGAATGTCATTTCCACACTACAAAAGTCAAAACTACTTGCCGAAGGCAACTTATAACATACGTAAAGCTATTTCAAAAAATTACATAGCAAATGTATAATGTATTCCTCCAATGCTATTTCAATTAATAATATGTTTTAAAGACTTTATCTTGTCTCTCATAGCATTTTACAGAATTAGTCACTCGCTACAAACAGAAGTTAATTATAAAATTACCAATTATTGCTGGAGCAATCTGTTGGGTAACTGAAAGCTCAAATTGACTTATTATATAGGAAAAAAAATTTGGTTTTCCAAATTTTTCCTTATTCCAAAAATAATCAGTATACTGCTTAAGATTATATTTGGTTTTATATATACAAAATGAGCCCTTTCTTTTTTACTAGTTTTGAAGATTTAGAAATGACTGACTACTGTAAATCTCTTGACACCATGAATATCAAACATCTTAATTTTGCTTAAGTTATCAAGAACTTCAATTAGAGATGTCAGAAATAACAATCATTACATAAAAAGATGTTTATATGAGAAAGTTTTACATTTATAAAGCTTTTTTTTTAAAGCAAGAGTCTAATGCATTGCAATCAGGACTTTGATGATGCAGAAAGATCAAGAATCCAGTACTTAAAGGGAAGAAATCCTCACAGGTCGGTGAAGTAGGTCACCAAACAATTGTAATAATCAGCACTGAGCTGCAAAAAAAGAGGAAGACACCTTTCCTAAGACTGAACTTTTAAGACATCTTCCCTGAAATGTCTTTGAGTAACATACAATTTAGAACTTTTGATGACACATACAAATTAAAGTAATGGAGCATTACATAAATAACATTTTTAAGCCATTATTTTAAGGTATGATTACAACTTGTTTTTTGTTGGTTGAAACAGGTTCTTGATTATTTACCAATATCCTTTTCCCTGCCTACGACCACCCATATTTTCCAAGGGCAACCATAACGCCCCCTTCCCGTACTAAGTAAAGTAACCAAGCAATTTGGCTGAGATTGACTCCAATCCCCAGATACAGACTCTTCCAAACTAATTAATACCTGAAATTCCTCTTGGTCACTTTATTTTTTTGAGACAGAGTCTCGCTCTGTTGCCCAGGCTGGAGTGTAGTGACGTGATCTCGGGTCACTGCAACCTCTGCCTCCTGGGTTCAAGACATTCTCCTGCCTCAGCCTCCTGAGTAGCTGGGATCACAGGCCTGGCTAATTTTTGTATTTTCAGTCGAGACAAGGTTTCACCATGTTGGCCAGGCTTGTCTTGAACTCCTGGCCTCAAGCAATCTGCCTGCCTCAGCCTCCCAAAGTGCTGGGATTACAGGCATGAGCCACTACGCCCGGCCTTCCTGGTCACTTTAATCAGAATAGTTCAGTCACAGCACACAGCCCAAGCTGTTCCAGGCAGCCACGTTGAGATGGGGCCACTAGCCCAAGCACGATGCTGACAATGGAAAAAAACAGAGCCAAGAGATTCACAGAGAAATGCGGCCAGAGTCCACTCTGGTTTCCCAGCCTTTGCACTTCTCAGTTATTGGAGCCAACAAATTCCTATTATCTTACTGGCAACAGAAAGCATTCTACTGGATTTAGGAGTCTACCCATGATGAAAGGCAGTGATTGATTTAGCTCTACAACAGCCCTATGAGGGTAAAAATATTTAGAAAATGGAGTTCAGATGATGATGATGATGACTATTTTTGTGCCTGTCATGTAGAAAGTGCTTAATAAAAGCTTTGTAGAATCTGGATATCAATTAGTTTCCTATTGCTTCTATAATAAATTACAAATTAGTGGCTTAAAATAGCACACACTTACTCTCTTGCAGTTCTGGAGATGAGAAGTCTAAAAGCAAGATTTCAGCAGGTCCGTATTCCTTCTAGAGGCTTCAGGAAGAAAACTGTTTCCTTACCTATTCTAACTTCTAGAGGACATCCAAATTCCTCAGCTTATGATACCTTCCTCAATCTTTAACATATATAAAAACATTCAAATGACTTCTTTTTCTGTTCTTCCTTTTTTTGGAGAGTTATCTATTTACGAGACAGGATCTTGCTGTCGCCTAGGCCATAGTGCAGTGGGCTCAAATGAGTCTTGGGCTCAAATGATTCTCCCACCTCAGCCTCCCAAGTAGTTGGGACTACGGGTGGGTGCCATCAGGCCCGGGTAATTCTATATTTTGGAGAGACAGGGTCTTCCTATGTTTACCCAGGCTAGTCTTGAACTCTTGGGATCCAGCAATCCTCCTACCTTGGTCTCCTAAAATGCTGGGACTACAGGTGTGAGCCACTGCGCTTGGCCATAATTTATTTTCAGTGAATACATTTGATGGGCAACATAAGGTGCTAGGCAGTACATGCTTCTCTTAAAAGGTCTAGAATACTTGCCAAGCCCATTGCCTTCTCTGGAAAGGTTTCTGAATCATAGGTTTCATGCTTTGTATTTTAATTCCAGCATCATCATAGCAAAATGTACTGGGGATGGGTATTTCAATTAAAGGCACCATCTCAAGGTTGGCAAGGGGTTTATTTATGTCTTAAGTCAAGAGCTTTGCCCAACTACTTCCGGATGGTGGTCTAGCTAATCAGATTCTTTCTCAAGGAGTTTGAAAAGAGACAAAAACCATGAAGTCAGTTAGCTGGTGATGACAGCTAACTGTGATGACAGGAGTTACAGAGGAAGAGCAGTGAGCAGCTAGGTTGCTATGTTGACAGACACTTGAGAAGCAGCTTCCACACTTTGGATTATGTACCCCAGAAGATAAAAA